AAACATCCAAAACGATTCTAGGTTCATCGGCAGCGTTTCAGATTATCATTAGTGATATCATGAAAAACTGATTTCAGTGATCATTACTATGTTATTTTTGAAATTCAGTACTCCCAGTAATTATCCGATTTTCACATTTGAAAACATACTGTCTACACTGTACAGCAAATAATGCTGTTAATCGTGATATGCGCATGGAAGTGCAGTAAGAAGAATTATCAGCGGAGTTACTAAAAAAACATCGATCAAAGGCTTAACCGATAACACGCTGATTGATCAATTGCTTTTATCCTGCACAGCAGATTTGTCAAAAGGTAGTGTTTATGTACGTAGATTTACTAATCTATACTGAATACACCCTGTCGTAAAGTCTCTTTGAAAAAACAACATCCTTCCTTGTCTCAATTCAGTGACACGGTAACGTTCGCAATGTTTATATTCCCACATAGCTAACAATGCAATCGTGGAATGTCGCTTGACCGTTCAGCTTCATCTTGATGTACTGATCTAAACTTAGGTTGGTATTAGAAATGCGATGTTCATATTGCCCCATGTGGTTTACGTTAAACACATATGTAATTAAAATAATTCAGAGAAGATATTTAATCCAAAAGTAAACCGTCATCAAACTGTTTATCATTTGTTTTTTTTCTGAAAACGTTCGTCTTAACGTGTGTGTGTGTATGTGTCCGGGGGTTGGGGGATAACACGTCAATAGAACAGCGCGTCAGTTAGCCCTGTGCGAGGATTCTTAATTTAGGTCACCGACAAAGTCGTCTGTTTTCTGTCTTATATGAATCGTAATTATCCTTAGAAAGTATTAAATTTGGCATCTTAGAAAAGAAATACAGTTCGCTCTACCACCATGTATAGTGTAATAAAGCACACTTTCGCCCTAAACTATTATAGTTTATAACGAGGACCCTTGCGTGTATAAGTGTGGTATATTGTCTGTTCGTCTCTATGCGATAATCACATTTACATTACTACAATCTAATGTAGTAAACGAGCGTTTGCAGATCATATAATATCATGTCACTTTCACTCATGATTTATGAGTGTCATTTTGTCCTATGTAATGACAATGTTGAAGTAGGAATCTATCCATCCATTCAGATCTTTTCAGCATCCCCGCTGAGATATGGGTGCTTAAGATTTGAATGAATGAATTGTGCGTTTCGTAAACATACCAACACAATTACAATTTTTGTATAACCCTTAAATAGTCCCTTGAAATGTGAACTGACATTTGGTTCTATTTCTCAGTTTGTTCGCATGCAACCAAAAAATCAAACATAATTAAAACACAATTATCACTTCTTTATGACATATAATATGCATTGCTGATTATGAAAAAAACAAATAAACAAAATTATAAGCGTATAATCGCAAATCAAAAGTGCAATATTTTGTACTTGGGTTTACCTCCCTCGAAACGAAGCAGCCGGGATACCGAACCCAGTCAGAGCGGGTGGGTGTGCAGTCAAGTGTAACGGCTGGTTCATTTGCAGATGCCGCCCTCATTCACGGCTTATTGTGTGTGTATATAGAGAGATGTTGGGTTTTGTAAATACATGCTCATTTTTTTGTGTACAACATTTTGCAATCAACAGACATCATAACATGTCATGTGTTCAAGTATCACACCTGCCTGCCATATATATCAAGTCCGTGTATTTCGTAAATCATCAGAAATACGAGTTATAAAGTTCATAAAATCTCGTATAGTACTGTGTGACACTAGCGAGCTGACAAGAAATATCAACGTGCATGTCGGTGCTGAAAATGGGGTGTGTGTCATTGTTCACATTTCGCCCATGAAACGGCGACTTGTAAATAACACAGGAGCTTGTAACGCTAAAAACTGTCTTCATGGTATGTATATACTGTCACTGACAGGGTCTTAGTACTATAAACTATATAATACTATATACTGTCACTGACGGGGTCTTAGTACTTTATTGTACTAAGACCCCGTCAGTGACAGTATATAGTACTAAGACCAAGTCAGTGACAGTGTATAGTACTAAGACCACGTCAGTGACCGTATATAGTACTAAGATCACGTCAGTGACAGTATATAGTACTTAGACCACGTCAGTGACAGTGTATAGTACTAAGACCCCGTCAGTTACAGCATATAATACGAAGATCACGTCAGTGACAGTAAATAGTACTAAGACCCCGTCAATGATAGTATATAGTACTAAGATAACGTCAGAGACAGTATATAGTACTAAGATGACGTCAGTGACAGTATATAGAACTAAGACCCCGTGAGTGACAGTATATAGTACTAAGTCCCCGTGGGTGACAGTATATAGTACTAAGACCCCGTGAGTGACAGTATATAGTACTAAGACCCCGTGAGTGACAGTATATAGTACTAAGACCCCGTGAGTGACAGTATATAGTACTAAGACCCCGTGAGTGACAGTATATAGTACTAAGACCCCGTGAGTGACAGTATATAGTACTAAGACCCCGTGAGTGACAGTATATAGTACTAAGACCCCGTGAGTGACAGTATATAGTACTAAGACCCCGTCAGTGACAGTGTATAGTACTAAGACCCCGTCAGTGACAGTATATAGTACTAAGATAACGTCAGTGACATCATATAGTACTAAGACCCCGTCAGTGACAGTATATAGTACTAAGATAACGTCAGTAACAGTATATACCTTGATTGCAGTTCTAAGCGTTACAATCTCCTGTGGTAAATAGGGCTCCTTGCCTTAGCTGGTGGTACCACACCACACGGTCACTCTGTGGTACCGCTGCGCTAATACTGAAAATGCTTCATGTATGTACAACACAACAGTACTTCTTAAAAATATATTTTATTTACATGGATCACTTTTCAGGTGACGTCCTACGCGAAAATGTTTGTTGGTTGTAGGACGCCGCACTCAGCTGTAAGCCGGCGGTCTGTAAATACACGAGTCTAGACCAGACAATCCACCTTTGCCGATTCCCCGTCCATATCCGTATATCCCTGTCAGCATAGTGGTAACCGTTCCTCAATGCATCACTACGTACTGGTAGGTATGATATGTTTAACTCAAATACGATGTATTAAGTATTGGATTAAGTTGTTGCAAATCGTTATCCATATCAATGTTATGTATTACTTAAAGATCACATATACTCTAGGGGGGTACAAATACATAAATCACTAACTGGCATCGCTATAAATGAAATCCCGTCAATAAAACTACTCACTTCGATCTTTAATCAACTTAAATCGACCTTCTTGACAACAGTGAACAATTCTCACCCGCGAACGAAATTTCAACCAATCAGAGCGGCGCGTCTCTGTGACGTCATATGAGGAATAGCTATGAGGGCTGATGCAGAATTCATTACATTTCAGGGGTAAATTATCTTGTTTGTATAACCTGAAATCGTGACAACTGTTGTGGAAAATGAAAGCTATATGTTTCTCACAATCTACTGTCATATAATTTTGTCTCCTGCTTTGCCTAGTTTCCGAGTTACAACTAAGTCTTATTTTCATAGACGATTCTGTCAAAATCGCTTGGTGTCGTTAGGCCTTATTTGTATAATGACTGATCCAAATTGATCCCATCTCTGTGTTTTTTTACCTCCATATTTAATCCTGTCATGTAAAACTATGACGTCTATTACGTATGATATTAAAAATTGACATTTGATTTTTTTGAATCGGTAAACTAAACAACCCTATTTTGCCATTGCTAGAAGAATCTGAAATTTTACTTAGGTACATTGTAAATAGGTACATACAGTTTTAGCACACAGCAAATGCTTTTATGTATTTCTTATGCAACAATGAAGTTCTGTTTGTATTCTCAAAACAGTTTCGGCCCATAAGTTTTCACATGCAATTAAAATTGCATGCAATACAGCAATTGCACTCCCTCGTTGTAACGAATGAATGGTTTATTCTCATGAAGATCACGCAACGGTGACAGAGAAAAATACAGGTTCAGATTTGTTTCATGGGAGCATATAGTCCGGTTTTCACATAGTTGCTTATTTTTAACAATAGTGCTTTATACGGACAAGACATGAGGGACATAAATTTATCTAATGATGGATAATTACAATAATAGTTTGGTAGGAATGAATTTCTTACATTACATGGACAATATAACATGAAGTGAAGTTCATCTCCTATTGTGTTCTTACACAATGTACATAATCTTTCTTCTTTAATAATATGTACCTGTTTCTATTAAAAGTTTATGGTTACAAGTTATAATATAGGTAAGTCAAATGCGTGCATTTAATGGGAGGTGTAATAGATTACTTTCGAGGTAACCCGTGTTAGGTGGTGTAAACCTACACATGTTATTTGTCATCATTCACTTGATGGACAGTTAATGAATTTATAACAGGTATAATTAGTGGTAACACCACTTAGATTACCCGACAAAGGTTCCCATTTGGCATTTCTTTTGTCTGGAGTAAATATTCAACATTATAAACATCGATCAAAGGATTAACCGATAACACGCTGATTGATTAATTACTTTTGTCTTACACGGCGAATTTGTCAAAATGTAGTGTTTATGTATGTACATTTACTCATCTATACTGAATACACTCTTTCGTGTCTGTGTCTGCGTAAAAACAACGTCCTTCTTTCAAAGGATTAACTGCCTATACAGTGATTGATTGCTCAATATTGGCTACCTAAATTACCGTTTTTAAAGAATGGCGGACATTATGCAATCAGTTGCCAGGTATGCTATCCTGGGTGACCAATGAGACTATACACCAATGTGACATACCTGAAACATATATCACTTTTTCGTATACTAGACTGTTAAAAGACACATTACTTGGAACAGCTGCAGATGAATGGCACATCACTCGTTTTTGTGGATATTGATGGATACATTCCTCGAACAAGGTAATAGCCAGACATTATTCCTATAAATTTAATCTGTTTTAATTTTAATATTTGCATTATGTTTTTATTCATTTGTCGCAGCATTCAACAGAATCGTTGTTTTCGCCCTGAAGTGTAATGAGACATACACTAGGACGTGTGTGCGAATTATGATTTACATTTGCAAACTATAGTTGAGTTGAGTTGGGCTTTACGTCACATGGGCATTATTCCAGCCATATAGTGACGAGATCAAGTTTGCATTAGAAAAAATTGTAAGTACATACTCGGAATGAGTTTTATTTCAAAGACATATATTGATTACATTGTCATTTAAAAGCAGAGAAAGTCATAGCATCAAATTTAAAGGCAGGCAATTTGTTAGTCACATTTCATAGTTACAATTTATGGTTGTTACATTTCGCAGTTACAATTTATGATACAGATCAACTTCTTGCAAAACTATAAACTGTCTAGATATAACAGTGCTGTTATAAATTCACTATAAGTATCAGCAGATCATCTGCTTTTTATTTAGTGTCAAAATGCATACAAGTATGATAATAAACTAATTAGGATTATGAGACCAAATGAAGACGTACATGGACTAGTATCTACATACTGGTGAGTGCACGTTAACCATGTGAATGTAGCAAGAAATTTATCGCGCAGTATTGTCACTTCGACCACCCACCTCGCTTCCGTGGAAGAAATCGTTATGTTATAAGTTGTGTCATGCAAAATGCTTTTGGTTATGATTCAAATACATATTTAACTACGAGTAGAAAGTAGTTTTGATTTTCTAACTTGATGAAAACAAACCATAATCTCATTAATTCTAACAGACTTTAGCCCGTGACTTCACGATTTTCAAAAATGGCGGCGCCCTGTCGCGAACATCCGCCAGTCTGAGTATAAATGCTATTTAAGTTTGTTTTCTACGAGTTACAAAATCAAAACTACTTTCTACTGGTAGTAAAATATGTATTTGATGGCCAATAGGATTTTGCATGACATATCGTATAACATAACAATTTCTCTCGTGGCAGCGAGGTGGGTGTCAATATAATACTCCTCACAATATTATTGTTACTTTGACCACAACCTCGCTTCTGAGGCAGAAATCGTTATGTTACAAGTTGTGTCATGGAAAATCTTTATGGTCATCAATCATATACATATTTTACTACCACTAGTAAGTAGTTTTGATTCTTTAACTTCCGTGAAGCGATCTGAACACAAGTAAGATATCGTTTCAGGCTTTCACAACGCTCGTTTCGCACTCACAGACATAACCCATTTTGCACGAACTGCGGGGTCCTGTGGAAATCTGTGCATGGCGACACCATCGCCCGACCTCTAGGAGCAATTGACGACAGCGCAACGATTCGGCATGTCTTCGTTGATGTCGAGAAATCATCAAAATGGCGAGCGTGCTACACACTTTCTATACAACTAACTGAAAATCGTTCCTCATATGACGTCACTGCAGTGCTCTGGCGACAGAGTTACGTAACCTGTCTGTGGTTTCGTTGGCGGGCGAGAGTGAAGCAGGCGATTTTTTGGCAACTTTTAATCGCTCGGTACTAATTAACCACAAGTTTTTAAAGAATGAAATTGGTGTTCTGCATAAGACTGACCACAAATCTTTCATATGTTATAGTTAAAAGAGTAAAAAACAAACAAAGTTTATTTAAAAATATAGATGAAAATGTAAAATGTCGTTGGGTGTCAAACATTAGAACAATCCTGTTTAGAACCGGTTTCTCATTTGCGTGGATATTACAAAATGTCGGTGATGCAAATGTGTTTATACTGAAGTTTCGAGAAAGATTAATTGACATGTACAAACAAACTTGGCATGATTCTATTTGTAACACGCTTTATTTAACGCACTACTGTAAGCTGAAAGCAGTTTTGGAGCCTGAATGTTATATTTTACAACTTAATGATAAGTCACTAGATGGCGCCAACCAAAGAAACTATTTGAAGGACTATTTCACGGGCCCAGGAGCTGTTCATTTTTTTATTTACACTATTTTCAATTGGTAAATGCGAAAGAAAAAACAATGAAAACTAACTATATACATGATGAACAAAACAAACTTTATTACAATCGTATAAGATGTATTTACATTTACACTTAGCAATGGATGGAAAATAAAAAAAAATATCAGATGAAAAAAGCTTTTAAATCTTTTATTGGAAACTCATTTAAATAATCTGAAGGTAACATTTCACATCAGTATAAAGTGCTCATAACAATATATGAGTATCAAGTTCTACTTCTCAGTTTCACTGTCCTTGCTGAGAGTCCTGAACATGTGACTGATTCTCTGAGGTGTGTGTAGGGTCCAAGAGACCGCTTGGCAGGCACATAGATATACCTGCTGCAGCACTGGAGTCAAAGCTGGGGAAGATACCAGCCTGTTCCGCTTCTTTGCGGCGTGTTGGAGCGGGTGGTGTGCTCAGGGTGGACCTCTGGGTGGCAGCAGGTTGGTGTGGAGATGATGTGCTACCACTGGCTGCCGTTTGGCTTTTACGATGCAATTAGGAAGATGGCGGACTCGATTAGGTCGAGTTGAGGTCGAGAAAGGTTCACTTCAGATCGTGTCGGTCGACTCCAGGTTGAGTCCAAATGAGTCCAGTTCGAGTTGGTCGACTCAAGGTCGAGTCGAGGCCGAGTACAGATCGACTATAAGACGATCGGCATATCAGGCCAACTCGACCTAATGTCGACCTAAACTCGACCTTTTCCCGACCTAGTCTCGACCCCATCTCGGACCGAAGGTCGAGGAGGAAGTCGGGGAATATTTGACATGTCAAAAAAAATTAAAAAAAGACCTGATTTGATCTGACTCGACCTGACTCGACCTCACTCGTTCTGAAACTCGACCAACTCGACCCCAAGGTCGAGAAGGTCGAGTAGCGTAAGGTCGGTACTGGGACCGCACCATTACGGAAAGTGTGAGCGAAGAAATTACAGCCTGATGTCAGGGGTCATACGCATATAAAGATATGGGGCATAACTCCGCTATGCTTAACACAAGGTCAATGTAACTCAGATCACTTGGAGAGAATTTGTTGTGGATAGTGAACTGTGTAAAAATTTTAATGATAGTTTGTTAAACAACTTTTTAAATTTTAGGACATAACTTCTGCAAACAAATCACAGAGTTGGTCTGATGTTTTGATTGTGATCAGCGTTTCATTGAGTATTATATGTTTATTAGTTTTCGAGTTAGATTGCAATTCATTGGTCCGCTTTTGAACCAAACGGACTATAATGCGTATAGAGATAAGGGGCATAACTCCGTTATGCTTAACACTAGGTCAATTATCATTAGTGATTTCTTGAAAAAATGATATTAGTGATCATTAATATGCTGTTTTTGAAATTCAATACTCCCAGTAATTATCCGATTTTCACTTTTGAAAACATACAGCAAATAACGCTGTGAATCGCGATTTCGTATTGTGTCAAAAATGGCGACATTTACGATGAAGCCTATTTGGAAAGGTCTTTTACAGCACTTTTGCTTTGTCTAAGATAATAGTTGGTGGTATCAGAAAACGGGAAATTTCCCGCAGAATTCGATACTGTGAGGTATATTAGTGTGCGTGATATATTTAGAATTTATTTGCATTTCAAAGTGAGGGTTGAGGAGGAAGGACATATATGTCCCTGTGAAACCCAGGGTGTTAAGTCAAAACGTTTGTTTAGAGAAATCGCGGCCAGGTAAACTAATAAACAGTTAACTGGCATGGCGGCACAATGCTTATGACGTCATAATGGATACAGCTAGCAGGGCTAATAGGAATACATGCTGTTATTACCTACGAGAGCAAAAATATCGGGGTTCATATTTTTCATACGATGCCCTAGGGCAAAATATCACTTATGTCATGTTATGGATATATAAAATATTGTTTGCTGGAAAATTATTAGATTAATTTAGAAATGTACAGATACTTATTATACAAACTTGTTTGATTAATTTAGAAATGTACATATACTTATTTATACTTGTATAGAATGTAAAGTTATTGCAGTGTATACATAGAATTTATGGTTAATACGGGTCCGTTTATAAACGGGTACAGTGTTCTTATGAAACAGTGACGAAGGTAGGATATTGTCTGTTGTTTTATGAAACATGCATTCGGGAGATCCCTCATTATTGCTGGTTTTATATGTTTGATGAACATAGCTTCTATCAACTTGCGTTTCCGCCAGTCATAAATGTTTTTTGCGAGAACTTCAGTTTCCCAGTCAGTTTCATGGTTAGGATTATTCACAATGAGCGGAGAAACTGCAGATTTCAGATCCGATTTGTCGACAAAAGCCTCCTATTATTTTGGATTCTCTCACTAAATTCCATTGAAAATTACAAGATAAAATGTATAAATCATTCCCATTAATATTATCAGTTTTACTTATAAGGTTTGAATGTAACACAGCCAAATGTAACACAGTTTTAAGGGTTTTGTTGTTCCCGGTTTTAGACAGTTTCGCCCAAACGCAGCGATCCCAAAACAATACTCATCTTGTCTCTCCCCACCCCTACAAGATTAGGGTGACCCTTGTGTCAAGGAATGCGCTGGTGCTCGACAAGATTTAAAGCTTTTGAATAATCGGGTTACTATGGTGGATCATTCGGGTCATCGCTTTATCGCACTGAAAAATGTAGGCGACATCGCGACAAAGCGACAGTACGAAACGACATTGCGATACGGCGACACGATACAGCGATATTGCGATACAGCCAGAAAACGATATGGCGATAACACGACACGATATGGCGATAACACAACACGATATTGCGATAACACGACACGAAATGGCGATAACACGACACGATATGATGTGATGAAGTCGATATGGCGATACTGCAATACAGTAATGCGATATGGCGATACAACGATATTGCGATACAGCATAGGTTACACCAGCTATTGTACACGACGTCGTGCTATTTCTGAAAATAATACCCTGGCTCGCGTTTCACAAAAGCCTCCTAAATTTAGGAGGTCGTAGATCATGCGACCTTGTTTACGACCGTCTTCCGACCTCCTTTACGACCGTTTCACAAAGACGTTATATCCATGTCGTACGACGCGGTCCTAAATCCATGTCGTACATTGTATAAGAGGCAACGCATAAAGCGAGACCGAACGGGCACCTGCTTATCTTGTTATTCCCAAAGTATTTCAAAATAGAATTACAGTTTGAATAACAATGCAAATGTTATGTTTTTAATTCAATGTACAGGTTATCTTATCGTAACAAAAATATCAGTAAATGAATTATTTTGGATTCTCTCACTAAATTCCATTGAAAATTACAAGATAAAATGTATAAATCATTTCCATTAATATTATCAGTTTAACTTATAAGGTTTGAATTAAATCGCTGTCCATTAACTTGTTCATATGAAACTGCAATATTAGTCCCAATGTATTGTATCTATTTTTAATTTCCTCTTTCTTGCTATGATACTCTTTCAATACGTATTCTAAAGGTATTGAGCCATTGCAAGCAATGAATAGCCGGCTGCTACGCAGTATAAATCGGAATTTGTCTTTGTTTACATTTCAAACTACAGTAGCGCAGTCTTCCGAGCACAGCGTTTGTTTTCACACCCAATATCCAGTTGTAACAAAGACCAACTGTGATTTGATTTTAAAATGTATGGGGAATTCAGTGATGCATTTGTCGCAGCTGACTATGAAATATACGTGATGTAATAGGCGTCTCAATACCGGCCTTTGCGAGACGTGATTTTGTAAACACTATCTAATATGGCGGAAAGCGCTGGCTGTGTGAATCAGAAACGTATGCCATGTAACGGACTATGGACTGCTAAAGCACTAAGGCAATGTTGCATGAATAGCACGTGAATATTTGCAAAACAGATGCAGAGTTGTCACAGCGTCGTCTTCAGGCTGGCCCATTCATTAGTCGAGTTAAGTTTGTTACATGGATTTCTTTGTTTTCATTTAAAGGCTGGTATTGTTTAAGCATGGCACGAACAGTAAGGGTGGAGTTGACATGGGTGCAGATTGGTGAATCGTTTGATTGCATTTGATATCTTACAGTGGGATTTTATTGTCCCCCGGAGAGGGGACCTAATAAAATATGGCAGGCAGGTATCCGGTATAATGCATGTGTACCCAAAAAACTGTGTTACTAAACAAAAGTATCTTGCAGTTGGAATTATCCAGAAGATAACTTAATGTGCAATGAAAATCCAGGTGTAATTCTATTAAAAAAATGTTATGAATTAAATAATAATTTAATAGCGCGTAAACAATGATGATTATATCCACACTTTGATTGATACCAATAGCTCTGAAAGGTAACCCCCCATTACCCCTACATGCCACTACCCCTACAGCTTATAACAACATAGTTTACGGTCTGTTGCACTGTTAATCCACTGTAGTTTTATTTCCATAATGCATGTGTGGCCATAGGCCCAAATACATAATACAATAATAATAATATGGGTGATATTATACACAATCATTTTCGCTTCTTAAAAGCAACATGAATGAATGCCATTAATTTTGTAAGCACAGAGTGTGAAGTTGTTGACATAGGTTTTGAGAACATGTGTACTGATGGGTTCCTGGTCACGTAACTTGGTAGAATAGCTTTTCTGATGGTGTCAAGGGAAGGGCATATCAAAGTAAAATGATAAAGATCTTCGATTTCATATCGATCACAGTGTGGGCAGATGCGTTGCTCACGGGGCATATTTGATATCCGGCCTCTGTCAATCTGTAGACATGTATGTCCAACTCTTGCAAGAGCAAACTGGCGCGCAAAAGTTCGTAGTGAAGATTCTAATAAGTATTCTTCAGCATCAAGAGTTGTTTTGTATGTTGAGTATGTATCATATCTTGAGCTGCTGGTTAAAACGTCATGCCACTGTTGAGAACTGATATCCTTTAAACGCTGTTTAAAGTCCTTAACAAAATATTCCGTAACACCAACATCTTGTGAAGCCCAAGCATATCCCATTCAAACATTTTGTAGTAGGGTTCTAACATCGGAACACCATGTATGTCGACCTACATTGTCCAGATTATGCAACATGACATATGCCTTGCGTGGTAGTCGATGAGACGGGAGATGAAGGAGTCTGATCCAGTACTTGATGCATCTGGCGGCACTATCCACATACAGAGGATGACGTCCACACTCTCCAAGGGCCATAGCATTTGGTGTGTTTGTACCGGTTCCAATGTAGCGTTTACAAGCAAGATATTGAACTCTCTCAATTGCCTCGACTCGTGTGTGTCCCCATATTTCACTTCCGTATAACAGGATGGGCTTTATTTTGGTGTCGAATATTTTCAAATAGGTCTTGAATGGTAACTTTCCATATGTCCACATTATACGTAAGATGTTCACTAAGGAACGTTTGCCGTTAGTTGAAGGGCGGATTGGCGCAGAGACAGGGATGGTGTTAGCATGATCCCTAGATATTTGTAGGTTGTCACAGGCTCGATCTCTTTGCCGTTGTAAAACCATTTTTCACAACGTCTAAGGATTCCCCCTCTTCTAAAGACGACAACCTTTGTCTTCTGTAGGTTAACTGACAGGCCCCATGTGTCACAAAATGTAGACAGGATATATCTTGTGATTAATTTCAGTCCACGTCGATAGGCGCTTGTTAAGGATAGATGTGAAAACCTTTCCAAACACACTGTTTAAGATAATTCTCCGGTAGTTATTCGGGTCTTTGAAACAGCCGCTTTTATGTATAGGAACAATAATGCCACTTCCCCAGCCGTTGGGGAAAACACCTATATCAAGGATTTTGTTGAAGAGTTTTACTAAGTAAGGCAATATATACTTGAGTGATGATTTTATTAATTCTTGTATTATATAATCTGGACCAGATGACTTTCCACTCTTTAATTTATTCACAGATTCCATGATTTCTTTAGCCTGTTACCTATTCCACACAATGGACTAATCCACTTAAGAGACATAACAACACACAACTAAAAGGTTGAGAGAATGATTTTAATGAAAAGTGATCATCATTTGTCATCATCAATATTTTAATAAGAATAAACAATAATTCGTCATCATGATTCTTTGATGGACATTAACAATTAATTGTTAACATTCAGTGTTAACATAGTCATTTGTGTCAAGTGTTTCAGTCTATGAACATTCAGTGTTTCAATCTATCCCAGCTTAAGCAGATAGCCGACGGCGTCCAAGAACTGAAGAGGTGATTTCTGTCTGAGCTCAAGCTGCTCCTTGAGTCTACACAGGCGATTGTCAATCTCCCTGAAGACTCGCTTTCTGCTTCTTGTCGCAGCACCAAAGTCTATTTGTGAAATCTTCACCCTCTCAGCATGTTCAAGTCTCCGTGACATAACAAACTCAACATTACGCAGACCAGCCATGTTGATGCCATGTTAGTTTGTTGTCAACAGCTATATACTATACCGAACTATCTCAATTTACTTTCTCGTCTCACCTTCTCATTTGCCTCCACTTCTCAATAATACTGTGTATCTTTTATCATGGCACTAAAACAACTTAATTTCAACATTTAACAACCTACACATTATTCAATTTGTAAAATTGTTCTACTCACTAGAGGTTTATCTTTCATCATGAAACTAAAACAACTTTTAGCTAATCCCAAATTTCCTTGACACAAAACACTAAAGAACAGTTTAATCCCTCCCTTGATCTCATCTGTATACTCTATGCACTAATCTCTCTTTGGGTCAGTTCATTATGCCAGACAGTTAAATGCCGTGTGTTGTTTTAACTAATTGTAGGGGTACTGGGCTGTAGGGGTAGTGGCATGTAGGGGTTATGGGATACAACCCTCACAAATGTATTCTGTAATATGAGCTTGATTAATATATTATTACAACCCCATTTAGCATTTGGTTATGGTGCAGCATGTTCAGTTAAACATAACATCCACATGCTTAATTTATCAATAATATCGTGATGTCAACATTGTAAGGAACTGTTTACATTTTATTAAGTATATCATACTTGGTCTCGCGTGTGTTATGTATTTTTTTCAGTTGGAACAGATGCACATCTTTAAGAGGAGAAAGAAGGAGGAATAGATTTCTTTATCACCACAATTACCATTGACATCAAGAGCAACACAAACTGAAACAGATCTTCAGATTTCTTTTAACATCTGGTGGTCAAGCAATATACATTGCTAATGAAGAAACAGCAAGTCATTGAAGTGTTGTATATACAGTTATAAAACATATTAAAGCCCTACACAACACCCTTCGGACACTTGCTGGAACAGGAAATGCTTGTAACCAGCAAGGTGTTGTGGAAAGTCTTGTGACATCTTGGAACTCTCAGATAATTCAGTGAGAATTTAGATGAGTGACCATGAAAGAACATTTGTATTCCAGATGATACTGTTACAGTATTTTTTCAGGTTTAGCATCTCGGAAATGCAAAGAATGTTTTATATGTTATGAGTAATTATGTCTTTGGAATAAATTGCAGAATAGTTCTAAAACTTGTTTTATTGTTTTGTAAGTGTGGATAAAGCAAGCACAAATTGAATGGTTTGGAAGATTTCTGCTTTTAGCCATGACATTGATTTGACAGTAAATATACAACGATGGATGTAGGAGATTAGATTTTCAGTGTATATAACAAAGGTTTCCAAGTGAGAGAGTTGGGTTTTACACCGCTTTTAGCAATATTCCAGCAACATCATGCTGGGGAGAGCAGCAATGGGCTTCACACTTTGCACACATGTGGGGAATCAAACCCGGGCCTTCAGTGTGACAAGTGTCAACAGTTTAACCACTAGGTTACCCTACTACTCCAGTTTCTATGAAAAAACATGCTTACCAATGAAAAGTTAAACTTAATCAATGGCATAGGCATGTGATTCTACGTGACATGGAATTTTGTTGAAATATGAAATTCTTTGTTTTTATTTGCTGTAAGATTACAACACTGGTTCATAGCACAATAACCAGTACACATTATTCTTTTCCATTATTTTAAAACATATTGGTCTAACTGTATAGTGGAAAATATGGAATGCCAGTTACCAACCTTGGCCTCATTGGCAGAATATTTGGAATATATAAGTTACTAAAAATGGGTGAAAAACACTATATTACATGACAAGTAATCATACTCCTGCTGCTATCATCCAGTGTCTGCAGAATCTACAGTCATGACATAGTATATATGCACATTTAGTTTCCCCATGTATTGATCAGTATATTTTACAATACAGGAAATGTCTTTGAGTGATTACTCCATATTTTGAGTGTATTTGGTCTTGCATTTTTGCCAATTGTGACTTGAAGGTGCTGTGTGCTGCTTCATATATTGCTTACAGCATAGCAGAACCTCACCCCTGCATAACCAAGAACTAAGTAACACTCATGTACTTTAGATCATAGTACATAGTTCACTCACTCCAAGACATCTAGTACAAAGTGTAATAAATATTGTCCAACAACCAGTTTTTATATATCACCTCTAAATAATGTTTACATAATTTGATAAATAATTGTTTCATGATGAATATTCATATGGCTGAGGGTTTTCACATTTTTGTTTTGAATATCTGACAGTAGTAACCGAAATAATTGCAACCATGCCATCAAGGTTATTTTGTCGAGCTGTTGATTGATTTGTGACACTATGACTTCTTGTGTGAATAAAAACATCACCATAAATGGGAAAGTTCATATATTTATAAAAAAAATTATAATGTTACAAGAACTGCTATATATTCCAGGCATTGGGAAAGACAGGGGCCAATTTGCACATTAGAATAAAAATGCCCCATTAAAATTTTGAAGTTTACTATTGAAACAAGGGCAGTGGCCCATTCTAAATTCAGAAAATGGCTAATAATCCTGAAATTGTCGAAGGTCTTCATCCCAATCCCTGTATTCAATATATCATTATCAGTATATTTACAGCATGGCAAAGAAACAATTTGACACATGCAGATCCCAGTCATCTATCCAAAATAAAATTTATAATGCATTTTCTTTCACATTTGCAAAACAACAATCAATTTATTTCTTGTATCTTTGAGTCATTCTGTCACCTGAACTTGCATACAGTCATCCCTTGGACTTGGAAGAGAGTAAAATTATTAAGCCTACCAACTAGTTTGCAAAGTATTTATATTAGTACCTCAAGTATTTATACACATGCATTTTACATTGCATAAAGCCAATTGTCTCTATTGAATATTTTGTAACTATTCCAAATTAAAAAACTATTTTTTACATATCAATATTGATATTTGTTAGGACCTATTTGATCTCAAATAGTTCCTAACAAATATAAATATATTGAATATGTAAAAAATAGTTTTTAATTTGGAATAGTTACAAAATATTGCTGCAGCATAACAAATGTATTTAGAATTTGGAATTTGGAATTACATACTTAATTGAAAAGGGAAATGACAGAGTCAATTTGGCCAAATATGAATAGAACATCAACTTGATAAAGTTGGTAACACATGGCTGTTTTATGAATAGCAGTATATTAATTAATAGTTTTATTAATTCAATATGAATACGGATTACTCAAATGCATTTTACGTTAACCATGTAATTGATTTCCGAAATATGTTTTGTGACAAACACTGTCCGCCATACTGAAAAGAAACGTTTAGCGATAGAACTGCACCGGTTGTCAAAAATATATTATAGCTAAAAAAAGGTACTCATATGTTTTCGAATTGACTCATGGTTGTCGGTTGTCAGTAAGGAACCGATAATCCTTGAAGGAATAATAATTTTTCGATCTTATCGTCCCCAAATGATCCAATTATTACGACTGTCACCAGCTGTGACAGCCAAGCATGGTAGTACACTTGGTCCGGTCTAGTAAGGTCATATTAGGCGGTCGCGCAATTTGGCACCACAACTGGTTCTTGCGTATTCGCTTGTCACCGGAAATCTAGTAGCGGAAGTAGCGCCTCGCGACCCTAATATAAATGACGACATTTACGATGAAGCCTACTTGAAAGGTTATTTAAGCACTTTAGCTTTGTCTGACATATTTAGAATTTTATTGGACTTCAAAGTGAGGGTTGAAGAGGGAGAACATATGTCCCTGTGGCACCCAGGTTTTTTTAATCAAGTCCAGATACACGGCCAGAGCACTAGCGGTGTCGCGGAGTATTCTTGACACACTAGCTCGGGATACTCCATGGAGATCCCCGAATTCACTGAGGAAAACCCCTTTTGCCAAATACCTCTGTGTACACAACACTTGCAGGGAGGTCGGAATAGCATGTGAACGCCTTGTAGCTTTGTTCAGTTGGGGCTCTAATTAACTTTCTGCACAATTAGAAAACAACATGAGTGTCGAGCACGTTCGACCTGTCTCAAAATTTCTCAGGTCTTCTTTGTTAGCGCGTTTAATTCACTTGCAGTGCCATAATCGTTGACGCCATCGTTGTAGTGTTTACGACCTCCTAAAGCAT